TCAGACAATCATAGCTGAAGAGACATACTTGTAAGACTAGCTTGTGCTGCGAAGGAAGCAAATATGTCTGGCAAGACTTCTCCTGAAGAGGAAGAGAATGCTCTTTTACTGCGCCATAGGCTTATTCCATCAGGCCTCCAAGTACATCTTTGACTTAGATTCATATGTTAAACCATTTTCCCTGGGACTCATCCCACAAATATCAGAGGACCTCCAGATCCTGTGTAGGACAAGTCTGTTGGGATTAAGCTCATTTCCTGGGACTCTACTCCTGATTCTTAGGAAGCACTTGGGACCTCAGCTAATTGGTGGATCTGACTCCATCCTTGAACACAGGACAGGTAATTGCACCTCTGTTTCTCTGCTGTTTCTATACTGTGTTCTGCTGTGCTAGGACTAACTATTCAAATCACATAATTGCTTTGCCTGCTGACTTCCCCTAAGGTTTAACCATACAAGGACACAGAAAGAGGCCCAAGAGACAAGAAGGGTGAGAAGGGACTCGCCTATCCCTGCTTCTTGGCATTTCCTGTTAGCATCAAACCAGCAACAACAGAGACAGATTCTAGGCAAGAAGTTTCTAGTTTCTTTTGGCAATCTCAGCACTAGCCTCATTCCATACCGTTTGCAATATCAGCACCAGCCAATGGCCCTCCTCAGAGGACTGAACTCTGGCATCTCATAACTCTTGCTTTGAGCTTCTAGATTCTAATAACTCTTCCTTTTGTCCTAATAACTCTCTAATAATTCTTCCTTTTGTTTTCTTGCTCCTATAAGATGTAGCTGGTTTCTGTAGTTATTATTCTGGGTTCCTTTGGTGTCTGCTTTTTGCTTTTTCAGACTTCCATCACCTCCTTATCCAATCCCCTATATTAAATTCTGTCAGTTGAAGTATCTAGAATATTTTCTGTTTTCATAACTGGACTTTGACCAATGCATCTGTCCAAACAGTGTTCAGCAAGCTTTTTTGATAAAAGGCCAGTTAGTAAATATTTGGGACAGTATGGGACACAAGGTCTCTGTTGCAATTACTGAATTCTACTGTAGTAGAGTCTAAATGACAGGCATGGTTATATTTCAAATAGGTGCTAGGCCATGGTTTAGTGGCCCCTGTGTTAAACCAAGGTTCAAAGGAGTCATAATATGCTGAAACAGGAAGTCAAACCTGAACCTGAGCTAAGCAGAAGGCTGAGAATGACTCAGCCCAGCCTCTAACTTTGGGGAAGTCATCATCTTTTCTTGAACAGCGGGGCCTTCAGTTACAAGATGAGATGGCCGGGCTATTGCTAGCTAATTCTTACAGTTCCTTTCAGCAGTAAAAATCAAGTGGTTCTGTTATTATTTCCAAAACACTAAATATATAAAATAATGTCTCATATCAGTTTCCCTGGGAAGCAAACTGAGGTGGAGATGACTGTTCTGGAAGTTTGGAAGGAAGTTCTTTTAGGACCAACACTTGTAAATAGGAAAGGAAAGGAAGAAAGTAGGATTATGAAGGGAAAAGCTGGGGTGACAGAGATAGACTTCTATATATGACCAGTAATCATATATAGGCTGCTCCAAGAGAGGACATAACCTTGGTTAAGGCAACTGAATTTACTTCTGAAGAAGGCTGGGAGCTGAAGTCACCCCCGGCACCTGGGTTGTTAAGTCTTTCATTGCAGAAGGATACTCATGGCATCTGCTACAGCCCACCCCTTATGCTGCTTGGATTTCAGATTCACACCTTTATATAAGTTTTGATGTCAGTTCTCTAGAAATCTAGGTAGCTTTTCTTTTCTAGGGGAGAACTTGAAAAATGATGACACCACTTGGAGGAAAACAATGCTGCTGCAGCTGATCTTAGGTCACAAGCAATATCTATAATCTCTCTTCTTTTCTATTTGTTCTATATTTCCTCCACCCATAGATGACATTCCTGCTGGTATTGTTGGCTTGTCTGATGCCATAACCTAGACTATCATTCCTAAGAAGTCTGAGTTCCTGTCACCATGTCCTCCTTACATTATAACCACTACCACAGCCCTTTGTCTCCAAACCCAGTCAAAGGAGTTCCAAAATGTTCACACATGTGTTGCTTGGGTAGCAGGTGATCTATTACTCTCTGCTTGCACTGTGTAAAGACAAACCTACAGCCTCCTGGGAATCAAGAGCAAATACAGAGCAAATACTCCTACCAACATGGACTGCTTCAAGAAAACTGACTGCCATTGCTGCAGCCTTTACTTGTAGTTCAGTGGCACTCTTGTTCTGCCTCATGGTAATGGACTCCTGCTTGAAAAGCATAGGATCCAAGAGAATTATTGAGACTCAGTGATGTAAAATGGAGCTATTCTTTTTTTTTCATTATTTAGAGAATACTTTATTAGTTTCTGTAATCAAACCCATGTAGATAAGACCTTACATATTTAATACAGTGTGTTACCCCTGTACAAATAGGAAAAGAGGGGCCGGGGATTTAGCTTAGTGGTTCCACCACCTGCCTCGCAAGCTAAGGACCCGAGTTCGATCCCCAGTACAAAAAAAAATGGGAAAAGAAATTAAGTTTGACATTTCTAGACCAATATGGCTGTTAATTTCTGTACAATGCCAACTCAACACAGTAAACGGGGATAATTTTTCCAAAGTTGACAGCACAGTTAAAGTTTCCAAAAATTCAAATTATATCTATAGTTATATCTATATATATTTATATAAAAAGACCAATAATAGCAGTATGATATACATCAATAGCAGCAACAGCTTTTCCAGGTTCTGCAGTGATCTGAACAAAATTATAGAGACATCCAGCACACTCCATTTTAAAAAAAAAAGAAAGAAAAAAAGAAAAGAAAAATACCCAGAAAACAGAAAAGTTCTGTTACTGTTGTGGTGCCCTTTTTTTTTATTAGCTTCTTAATCATCATCTGGAAAGAAAACATTCTAGAGTAATATCATTAAAAAACAGCTCTGATAAAGTACAGTCACTACTACGTAGCATAAAGCAGGAACAAGACATTTTACATTCACAGAGGTATGATACAGTACTGTCCTACATCTATAATACTAGAGGATAGAGGATACAATTAAAAAAGCATTATTTCATACTTGATTCTACTTTTCTAGCAGAAGGCCCAAAGGATGATATGACACAACTCTGTAAACTCAGAGGCAAAAGAATAATTTTCTCATTTAATTCTTTCAAGCTGGAAGAAAATAGATTTTCTAGAATAATGGGTAGATCAACACTGTAAGGAAGGACCTATTAGCTTAATTCTAAAAACATTAGTTTTAAACAAATCAATGACTTTCCCTCTTTACGTAGCACTGAGAAATTTCAAATACAAATTGTAGAAACCAGTATATGGAATCTTAAGAAAATCTTCCTAAAAATAATCATAAAAATGTTTTTTTCAAAATTTAAGATGTTTTTGTTTTGGTTTTGGTTTTTTTTTTGCTACCGGGGATTGAACTCAGGTCCTTCCACTTGCGAGGCAGGTGCTGGAATCATTGAGCTAAATCCCTGGCCCTCGAAATTTAAGATGTAAAATACAATGGAGTTTAAATTAGAAAACAAAACAAGAAAAGCCCACATGTATTTTATAAGGTTATTCTTTTAAAAACCCTTGTCATCTGCTTTTATTCTGTTAATCTTTTGGCTGCATTTAGCATCATTTAGAGGATGCCTTGTGACATTTCAAATAAGCCATACTATTGTTTTTTCAAGCCCGATGTTTTTTCTTCTTTTTCCCATATCAATGCAATTATAGCATCAAGTTTCATAAATTTTTTCCATAGGCCATAAAAGTCCATTTCCTAGTGAAAATAATGTTTTAATAGGAAAAAAATGAATATATTTGTCATAAATTATTACTATACATTAGACATTTCCATATCAATTTTTAAAAATTACATGTAACACTGGGAAAAGCTAGGTTTTAAGTTCTAGAGTCAGATTTAGGCTCTAAAAGTAAAGTTATTCTGCAATTAAAGCTCAGGGCTACAGTGTCACTTGTGATTGATAAACCCAGTTCCACTGTACCTCTGACTTGACTTGCAATAGTAAATACCTTTAATGCTAGGAACCCATGACTCACAGAGTACTAAGGACTCGAGTTCAACCAAGATTGAAGACTTAACTATTACCACCAGATGATGTTCCAGAAAAAAGAGGTCTTTACGATCTCCATCTCATCAAATTTTTGTATTTAAGAGAAGGTTTCAAAAAATAACCAATTTTCTATTTTAATGTCTCTTAACTTTTATTCAATTAAGCCATACTTATGAACAGAATTTAACAGCAATAAAAAAAAAACCCCTCCAAACGTTTCTACTATTTACTTTTACTGAGAAGGCTGAGTGAATGAAATACAGTGGCGCCACCTTTGGAAAGCCTTTAAATGCCATCTGTTTGATTCCAGCATATGAGCGCCATTGTAGATAAACAATACCATCATCTTTTCAGAATAAGGAAGATTTTGCAGGAGCTGAAGGTATTAAGGCAAACTATCATGTAATTCTAATATAATGAAAAGCAGTTTTCTAACCTTACATGCGTACAGCCAAATATATTATCTTATTATAATATCAACAAAACTCTTATGAAACTTTCAAACACCTCAATATAAACCCTATAAGCTATTATCATTACTTTCATTAGTATACTTAAAGCTTGGCCTAAAGAATAATTGACGTGCTTGGGAGTCCTCTATATTTCATAGGACAAATGCTATCATACAACTCCCTACATTTCCTAGGATTCCCTTTTATCCATAAAATCTTTTCACACAACTTCTATAGTCAAGCGCTGTGATAAACTGGTAGCCAGGGATGTCTGGTTTATAGGCCAAAGTGTTTGGTAAGAAATAAGGTATTAGCAGATCTGGCTATTCCAACTAGCATCTGCTGAAAACAAGTACATAACAAAATCCAAAAGAAATTTGAATTTATGATGGGCTCTCCAATGAAAATTTTCATAAAAACTCAGCTTTGGTATAATAAAGAAGTACTGAGATGTGTTTTCTTTACAGGCAGTGTTTACAACCATTTCAAATTGATTGGGTCCATTCCCTGATTAATTTCATCAACTACTCTAAATGGACATCTATTAAGCTCTTGAAGTGCCATCAAGTATAGCATGACGGAAACACTTCTTTCACCTCCACTTTGATGATGAGGAGTCAATTCATGCAGTTGAGTACTACTGTGAAATTTGACTCTAATTCGAATTCCGTATTTATCATAATCTTCCTCATTTTCTGTATGGAGATCAACTTCACCAGCACATTGCATGTAACTAAAAAAATTGCTGAATTTTTCATTAATTTTTTCTACTAGCTCTTTTAAGGGATTTAGCCATCATTCTTTTACCTGTGAAATATTTCCCCTATATTGGTCTAGTTCAATTTTCTTTCCCTTTAGTTCCTCAGTTAATTGCACTATTTCTTCTTCTCTTTTTGTGTATTCCTGAACCACTGTAGGATTCAGGTCTTGATCTTTGTTCAGTTAATAAAGCATCAGTTTCATCCAATGTGTTTGGAAGATCTTGAAAAGCTGTCTGATATTCTTGAGGAACAGTCTGCTGTGCACTCAGGTTACATACTTGCCTAGCTCTCTTTATAAGTTCCTTGCACTTCTGTAATAATCTTTGCCTATTGTTGGATACTCAATAAAATGGTGAGTTTGTAGGGGTTTCAGTGCAAACTAAGCTGGCTCCAAGGCAGGATGGCATGACAGGCAGGAAGCCAAAATGGAGATATTCTTGCTTCCAACATCTTGATTACTGGGCTTATGTATTTTACCCTACTGGGTATGCAGTACTATATGAAGAGTGTTGGTTAAGGGCATATACTGTGTAGTGCAGAATGCTATCCCATTCTTGCTGGCTCAACAATGCCTTCAGCCATTCTAAGACACCCTCAAACCAGCAGTCTCTTGATGGTGCCACTTGTGAAATGACAGTGGCCCCATGGTCATGTGTCTACTCAGTTACTTCCTTTCCTATGACTTGACCCATACACACTTCAAAGCGGGCATTCTAAGAGGAGATTTGCATTGGGCTGGAAATCTTGGAAAGACCTCTGCGAAAGGCCTTTTTCCCTAAGCTTTTTCCCTCAGCTTTTTCCTTAAGACGTGGCATTGAAGAAAACTGAGTATCTTAACTGTTAAGACCATCAGTTCCTGCCTTCTCCTAGTCTTTTCCTCTTACCTTCTTTCCTCAAACTTTCTCTAACATACTTACTGCATCCCCTAGAGTATATAGAATAGAATATTTTTTGTCTAAAAAACATGATAAGGGATGAATTCCATATTGTCTTCCTGCCCTGAACCCACATTCACACCACCCATGGTGTGTGGAAATCCACATCTCTTGCATTTGCACAGCCCTCTGCTATTTGTAGAACATTTTCATACACTGCACTGCCTTTGTAATGGCAAAGCTTTCTGACAGCTGGATGAAACTTTCAACTCTCCCCCATGCTCACTCACACCTGGTGTCTTGCTCCAGGAGAATTAAGGCCTTCCTTCAGCCTTCAGGACAGCACACCCATCTCGTCATTGTCCTCCATTTCTATCCAACAGTCCTCCCCTACAATATCTTTAGCTAGATCCTCCTCCTCCCCTCTTCTCTCTTTAAATGTTGAGGTTCATGAAACTCACTCCTGGGCTCTCTTCTCTTTTCTTTTTCTTTCTTTCTTTCTTTCTTTTTTTCTTTTTCTTTTTCTTTTTTTTTTTTTTTTGGTACTGGGGATCTAATCTCTTCTCTTTTCATTCCATGCTTTTTTCTAAACTATCTCATTTACACCCAAACACTTCCTACACCCAGATGGCTAACACTGTACATCTCCAGCCCAAACCTCCAGCAAGAGCTGTGTGGCCAACACAGCTTTAATGTCTCAAAGGTACCAAACATCTGTCTTCCAGCAAGCTCCTTTGCATGGAAAGTTGCCTCCACCATTTCTACCATCTTCTCCCCAGTGCCCCATATTCAACTATCTCGTCTTCCTCTCTCCGTCTTTCAGCTCAATTCACTCACTCTTCTCCGTGCCCACTGGCCTCACTCCAGCCAGGCTCCATCCTTTCTCAACTGGACAGTGTTCTTGGCGTTCTCTGTTCATGTCATCCCAGTCTTCAAGCGCACATTAATGTACATGATGAGGGTGTCAGATCTCAGGTCAAATCCATTTAGAGGCTTCCTGTTGCTCTCAGGATAAATGCTCACAAAGCCCCACAAGACTAACCCTGCAACATCTCCAGCTTCATCATGAACCACTTCCTCATTCTTCATGCTTCCTCCATAAGCCCTTTCACTTTATCCAGTGAGCCATGCTCCTTCCTGCTTCAGGACTTTACAGAACAGATGCTGGTCCCCTCCCTAGAATACCTTCCCTGACAAATTACTCAACTTGTCAAGGGGAATGACTGTACACTGACCTAAAGCTTGTCACTCAGACCTCTCATCAGGATTATCATCTATTGGTGATTGCTTTGTTAATGTCTGCTTCCTCAAATATTTATTTCAGTCTCATCGCTGCTTATCCAGTGGACAACAGTTAGTGACCTCTGTGAAACATTACCCTCATTAAAAACTGAACACTAATCTAAGTGCTGTGGATATATTGGTCCATTTCATCTTAGAACAACCCTACAAGTAAGTACTATTTTTCCTCTATGTTATAGATGAAAAATGAAGCCCAAAGAAGTTAAGTAATTCGTCCAACATCACAAAAAATATATAAGATCAATGTGTAACCTAGATTCAAACACAGCCCATCTGCCTGAGTCTAGAATCTGCTTTTGATCTCTCCCTAAGGTGCCACTTTAGAGTGGGTGGATGCTAATTCCCAGTTAACAAAGGAGCAGTCTATAGTTTCATACAGCTTAAGTTGGAGTACAGAGCCCCAGGACTCTTCCTGGTAACCTTGGTTTCTAGATTGCACCTCCAGTAACCCCAACAAAAGGTTTTAATCTCATCACCTAGACATGACCTGTAACTTTTAACCTAGGTGCCTGCCTCTCCACCAGACACTGAGCTCTCAAGGCAAGGACTACTGTATTCTCAGCACTGATCATACACAGCCTGGTCCATTTCAGACTTCAGTAAGTTTGTGCAAAATATTTAAGGGTCATTGATTTGTTTTGTCCTAATTTTAATTCAGTTTTTTCATCCAGTTAAAGCTTTGGCACACCTCTGTAAAAGAGAATAGAATTCTCAAAAAAAATTTAATGGAGAAGTTGTGTAATTTGCCTGAAATTGTTCAACAACCTTCAGGCCACTGGTTCTTAATATTTAGAGAGGGCATCATGGATCCCTTAGAGACCCCAGTGAAATTCTTATAAAATGAAATTCTTATAAAATGATGTCCACCAGCCCTGTATTTCACAATCCCTGGTAGCCCCTGGGCTAAGGGAAGATGAGAAAAGAGAGGAGCACTACATTAAAAAGCACTACTTAGTACAAGGAGGAAAAGTTTATATTTTCCAATGACTAGGCGGGGCAAATACTGTTAGTAATAGAATTCCAACTTATAGCTGGGCATAAAGCCAGCCAGAATATATTTCCCAGGCTCCCTTGCAGCTAAATGCAGCTATGTTTTTAAGCACTAGCTCTTAGAAAGATGAGCACAAGCTTCCAGGCTGTGTCCTTAAAGAAGGATGTGCCTCTCCTCCTTTTCCATCATCCTTGTAGCTAGAATGTGGACATGCTGGTGACCATCTTCAGTCATCAGAATAAAGAAAATGCCCTAGGAATGTCAGAATAACAAGAAAAAAGGTGCTCAATCAATGTAAGGTGGATTGAGGCGACCCTTGACTTTGTGTTTTCTTTATTATCTGAGTGAAGAAAACAGGGTGACTCCTAAATTATTTCACTAAATTATTTCACCATCCTTAACATCCTGCAGATCCTCTGTAAAGGCCATGTTGATGGCCTGTTTAGTGGTAAATGTGATGATCATTAGGATATTCACAATGATTCATGTTTTCCTCCATACCCTGGTTTGGGTAACTCCATGAGCAGACCCCGAGGCAAGGAATCAAGTGCAAGTAGTTTCTTTGGGAGGCAATCCTAGGAAGCAGGTGGGGAAGTGAAAGAAGTCAGTAAAGGATGCATTATGAAATCAGTTTCCACTGTGGGCAACTGGAGCTTAGACCCACTGGGAACTCTAGGAGACAGTGAAGAAATGGCTTAAAGTTATTCTAACTTTAGGTTACTCATCCACCAAACCCCTTCAGGAGTTTGAAGGCATTAACTGCTGTACTTTTCAATTTGTTATGTGCATTGGTCAAGCATTAATCCATGGCCAGAAAAAAAAACTCAGGTAGAGAACCACAGATGATCATAAGAAATAGCCTTTGGTATGTAAGGGCAAATATTGAAGGGATAAAAATGGGCAGTGACATCAGTTCTACCCTTTTTTTCTGGACATACAGCAGGATTGCACTTCCATAACCTTTTTGAAATTGAATATAGCCATGGGAGTGCCTTTAGCCAATGCAGTGTAAACAAGAGTGTGACAGTTAATCTTGATAATCAACTTGACTGAATTAAGGAACACCTAGGAAATTATTAAAAGACATTTTTGGGTGTGTCTGTGGGTGGTTCCAGTGACAGCTGAATCACAAGGGCTCTAGCTTCATCAATGGGTCATAGTTTGATGGCCTTATTGGGAAGTGATGGAGACTTTGGGAGTGGTGGATGGCTGAAGGGAATGAGACACAGAGGCATGACCTTGGAAACTATATCTGGTGTCTGGTCCCTTGGTCCCTGGTCCGTTCCTCTCAGGTATTCCCCTCTTACTCTGCTTTCTGCCTACTATGAAGTAAGCAGCTTTTCTCTGCCCTTTCACCATGGTGTTTCTGGAACCAACCCATCATGGACTGAAACCTCTGAAATTATAAGCCTAAAGAAACCTTTCCTCCTCTAAGTTGATATTTGGTCACAGCAACAAAAAGCCAACTAACAAAAAGTTACATTTAACATATTTATACAGAAGTTTTAAGAGCTTGTGTGCAATTTACTACACTTTTTTCCTTGCCGCGGTGATTATGGAAACACGTGCAAAGATGGAGATTCCACTAGCCTTAGTCCCTGAGTGACTATGAAGATCAGGCTGTGATCTTCCTACCCTGTGGCTCTGGTAGAAATACGGTAAGAACAGGATATAAAAATTGGACTTATTGAAGCTGCTGAAATTCTGGGGCTGTTTGTTACGACCACTTAAAACAATCTCCTCTGAGGGCAGGGGAATGGGGAAAAAAATAAGAACCAAGATAGAGTATGCAGGGCTGGGGATTTAGCTCAGTGGTTCTGCTGCCTGCCTCACAGGAGCAAGGACCCAAGTTCGATCCCCAGTACCAAAAAAAAAAAAAAGAATATGTAAAGATGCAAATTCCCAATGATGAATGTCATTATATTGTATACCTAAAATGTACCAATAAAATTAATAAATAATCGATAAAGAAAATGAAACAACTGGAGACAAAGTCTTTGTAAATAGGGGGGGATGGAGAGGTTGAAGGGAGAGCAGGGGAATGGGAAAAAAAAAATAAGTACCAAGATAGAATATGTAAAGGTGCAAATTCCCAATGATGAATGTCACTATATTGTATACCTAAAATGTACCAATAAAATTAATAATATTTTTTTAAATCTTCTCTGATACAATAAATTTAATCCACAGTGACAAAGCTAGCCATGGAGTTCCCAAGTGGATTCAGCAGCCCACAAATAGGTTTTGTATGATCCATTAAATCTTGTCTTACAACACTGAATTCAGGTGTCTGGCTTCTGTGTTTAATAAAGATGTCCTAAGATCTGGTAAACACTGGCCACGTTCCCTCTTGGCAGCAATCAGCTGTAGCCGAGCAGTTGTGCCCATTTGAAATGTGGTATAAGGTCTCCATGGAGTACTCCTCATAATATACTGGCTGCTTCCCTCTTTCACATGACCTGATTCCATAGACATTTAGCTTTGGAACAAGTCCTTGGTGCTCTATACAAGGCCATAAGAAAATCACCGATATTTAGGACCTCCACAGCCTTAGTTCCACCTCTCATCTCAGAATTTACAGCTGCCAAATGGGTCTGACCAGCCTCTTCCACTTATTCCTGGCTGCCAGATGCCCAAACCTAACATAATCTTCCCATGTCTGGGCCCATCCACCTGACCTCTATTGGAGGCCTATTTAATTTGCAACATCCTTGTTAAATTCCTAATATGACACAGCTCCTGTCCTGAAGGAGCTTATTCTATGTATAGGCAGACACTCACACACATTCAGGAAAAGGACTGTCCACCCACAAAGCAGAGTTTTATGGGTATCAAATGGGAGCAACTCAAAGCAGGGGTTCTGGGACTCCACCATGGCATAGTAGAGAGATTTTGGGTTCTGACCTCCTTCTCTCATGATGTAACCTTGGACAAGTCACATTTCATCTCTGAGACTCCTTTCTCAATTATTTGTCAATTTGTGGTTCAGACAACATGCTAGAAAAGGCATTCCATAGCATTCATCCTCACATTTTGGGTATTTCTCACCACATGTAACTTATCATAGGTTTGTCCTGTTGGATCTCAACTCTTCAGAAGAAGGCTGATGTTAATTCCAATTCATTCAGATTAAGGACTGTAGTAATGAATTCTGTCCATGTTCTTGAAGGGCTTTGGCAAGTGGATAAGTGCCCCTCTTTGTGTGTCCATTTTATTTGGAAGATGACTTTCCAATCGCTGTTCTATACAACTGAATAGACATCCTAACTATTTGTGATAATGGAGTCATGAATGATATGTCAGTTAATCTTAGTAATCAATCTGACTGGATTAAGAGACTCCTGGATTGATGATTGGATTGAGAGTGCACTAACCTCATCTGTGTTCAGATCTGAACAGGCCACTAGGAGGTGGAGCCTTGCTGGAGGGAGTGGTCATGGAGGTGTGACCTTACCAACTATATCTGGTCCCTGGCCCCTTCCACCCTGGGCCCTTCCTCCGGGCTCTGCTTCCCAACCACCATGAAGTGAGCACCTTTCCTCCACCATGCCTTTCCACCATGATGCTTCTGTCTTGGAACCAGCCAGCCTAAACAAAACTGGAACTCTGAGCTAAAATAATCCACTCCTCCTTTAAGTCATGAGGGTCAGTTATTTTGTCCCAGAGACAGAAATCTGGGCAATACAGGGGAAATAGGACCTCCTGAGTTCATCTAGTCCACCCTCCTGCCTGCAAGTAGACTCCACAAGAATTTTGGGCCAGAATAGGTTTTTACAGAGAGGATTCACCTTCATCTGAAGAGGACTCTCACCATGCTCATTTGTTGGGAATAACATGGTCATAAATAATCTAAATCCCTGCTTTTCCATTCAAGCCACTTCCTGTGGGTCTGATCTCAGAGTCTGTGGGAACAGCTGGGCACCACCTTCTCATAATGACCCTTCATAAACATTTATGGGACAGAGGTAGATGTATCCAGTTCATCTTGGTGTCTGGCAATTACATTGACAGGATTTGATTTGTTGTTTCCTGTGCAGATTAGAAGCTCTGCAAAAAAAAAATCCCCCTTCTACACTTACATCTTCAAAATGTACCCACCATCACATCACAAAGTCATGTGCAGGACACTTCCAAGCCCCTGTGATTCCCGATGGAACAGAAGGAATGAGTCATATGCACACACTATATTATGGTTTCGATCTATAATGTCCCCCAACAGGCTTGGTGCTCAGACATGGATAAGGCTTTTGGAAGGTGACTGGATCTCAGGGCACTATAGCTGACTTGATGTTAAGAGATGGGGTCTGGTTGGATGTGGGTCACTCGGGGCGTAACCTGGAAGAGTATATTCTCATCCTGGTTCCTCCCACCTCTCTGTTTCCTGGCTGCTGGGTTGAGCATCTTTTTGCTCCACCTTGCTCTTCCACCATGCCATTTCTGCCTTGAAGCCAGATAACCAGGGACTAAAATTGTGAGCCATAATAGACCCATCCTCCTTGAAGCTGTGGGTGTTGGATATTTTGTTGCAACAGTGAGAAAGTGACTAAGACACCCTATCAGCTAACCTCACTGATTAGCCTGAACCTCCTTCTCTGCTAATTGTTTAGCAAGAGCCTAAGGAGGTTGGTTTTACCGAAAGATCACAAGTGGGACCCACAGTGTAACACAGAACTAGGGTGGATGGGACATGG